GATAGGCGCTTAAGATGGTACAGCTGGTGGTTTAAAATATTATTTATTTATTTATTCATGTTGCACAATATACATATAATAAGAAGTATTACATACAACTAATTCAGTACATTACCCTGTTAGGGCGCAGCAATTTAAAACGTTACAAAATTTATTTATAACATTTATAACAAAATTTATAACTATTTCTTAGAGCAATAACTATACCTATATACTAACTATTCTATAGTTTTTTTTTAATCTTTATTTAAGGGATTTAATAACATAGTGATAATGTCACCCTGTGACTTACGATGAACATATCTAAAATCTAAATATACTACCACTCTATAATTGATTAAAGTACTTAACACGAGTGGACATATATTTCTGATTTCCAGTAGCCTAATAGAGGTCATGAAACTACACAGAGTGCATACACATGCATATATGTACCACAAAAACTGCCTCTCCGTTTTCACCTTTACGAAAGGTGTTCTTAAAAAAGTTATTTATTACCTAACTTTAGCCATATAACGCGATAATTGATACTAACTAACTAAATATCATCAACATTTATGTAGCAGTTTTATAAATAGTGTAATAATAAGCTTTTTCTTTGATATACCTACTAATGCATGTAAACTATTAAACAGATATATCATCATTATCATCATCAGCCCGTGTTCGTCCACTGCTGGACATGGGCATCTCTAATGGCACGCCACTGAGCTCGGTCTTCAGCTCCTCTCATCCAACCGCTGCCTGCCACCTGGAAGGCGCCCTACTCTACGTTTGCCTAGACGCGGTCTCCACTCTAGAACATGTTTACCCCAACGGTTATCGGTTCTTCGACAAATGTACCCGGCCCACTGCCACTTCAGCTTCACTGATCCTTTGGACTATGTCAATAACTTTGGTGCTCTTTTTTTTATATAGAGGTATATAACGCGATGGAAATCCTCATGGACTTCCCACGCCGTGGGGACGACGGGGGGGTGTGCCGGACTCTTACCGGCTAAAACCACCGCGGTGTTCATCCTCTGCCTGTGGCCGTGACCCGGGACCCCTTGCGGATTCACCGCACCCGGCAGGCCTCGACCTACCACTACATTGTGGTAGGTCCCACCACGTAGCAGCCCTCCAAAGCTGCGATTTCCTTCCTCGAGTGGCGCGCGTGAACACACCACTAACGCCTACTCCCGCCCATACAGCGGACGACTGACTCCTCTAATCGGTCGCCCGCATCTTTGGTGCTCTGCCGAATCACTTCAACAGACGGATATATACTATAAATTAAAGATATTATGATAGCATAGGTTATAAGTCTTAGCACATATTAATTAAAGCGGGAATTCACGTTGAAGTCGAACTAGTAATTATTATTCTTCTCATTTAATTTGTTCCAAACTAATAAAGTAAAAAAATCAACCAATCCGATGTTTATAATCCTATTAAAATAAGACTTGTAAAAAAGTTGTTCTATTTAATATACACTTTATTTATCTTATTAGTGGTATTATAATATATATTTTTCCATATATTGTTATAATATATTACCTATAGTAATTAAATTAATATACAAACTGATTTGTTGGTCAAATAGTAGGAAATGCAACTGTAGGTTCCTACATGAAATTTTCAGTTAGATAACCGTTACGAGAGAGAGAGGGAGAGAGAGAAAGAGAGAGAGACTTATGTATTTTCAATTTCGAAAATCTCAGAAATAATATAGATTCAAACATTATGCTTGGTGATGGACTGAACCTAACCTATCTCACAAATTTTAACTATTGTAGTACAATTTTACCAGCTTTGACCCGTCGCGTCGCGTTTGGAACGTAGATCTACGCGAGACACAATGCATTTTCTGTTGTATCTTATAGTCAAGAGGTTATGTAAACTTAAAAATAAATATTTATATGTATCTAGGAATTGAGAAGCATTACTTTTTCCTGTACCTATTTCTATAGATTCGAGACTTGGTCTTCACATACTTAGGGCACCTTTTTTGAGAGGGAAAAATCATCCAATGACTTCTCCGGCCTTGGGTTAGGCAAGCGGGACCGTCAGACTCTTATTGACTAAAAACCACCCCGTTCCTCCTTCTGCTCTTTGAGCCGGAGTCCTGGCAACCCGTTAGGCTTTCCACGGGCATCAGTCCTGATGGCTCTTTGAGGCACTTATGACACCTAGACACACAACCACAATTTGTGGATCAAACAAAGAATTGTCCCGTGCGGTAATCGAACGTAAATCGACGCGGCAACCGGTTGCCCAATGCCACCTGTCATCGTCGAGATATTGTTACTACGCTACATTATAAGTGTTGTATAACTTTACTGCCCACCTCCTTTGATTTTAATGTGATTGAACATTATGAAGCCGCTAAATATTTAGAACAATGCTAATTTTATATTAGCACCTCGCCACAACTTTATTGTTTTTAAAATGTATGTATGTAACTTGGAATTTACGGCGGGAGTAGCCAGTTCGAAAACGTAATCTTTTATTTTTTTTAATTAAAACGTATATTAAAATGGCGCAACTACATATGGGGGAAAAACTACATTAAATAACATATAAAAGTAGACACTGAATACGTATTCTTAATAATTAAGTGGTAATGAAATCAAATAGCTGCTAATTAGCAATTCGATGCTTTACTTTAAGTACCTCATTTGCGTATTATAAAGAATCAATATAATAACAATAATATTTTCATCTTAATTAAATGTCATCAAACTAGAAAAACGTTTTATACTAGTTTTACTCCGCAGGTTTACCCGCATAACGTATATATGTTAAATCTACGATGTGGAAATAGAAACCTTTGTTTAAAATATCTCGAACAGGAATTTCCTGATATTTAAAAACACAGGAAAAAAATCTACTTCAGGAAACTTATAATTTGGTTGAAAAACAATGAAATCGAACATCACGCTTTTTAGTCCACGAAGAGGTAGATAGAGTTGCACATTTAGGTATATGGAACAACTACTTTTGATTTGACATCATGATGGTCACTAGGAATCCGATATATTATTGTAAAGGTGCATAATAATAGATAATTTAACAGAATAGAACAGTTTTATTTGTACTAATATTATTAAACAGATGAAAAGTTTATTTATCTGTTCGAACGCACTAATCTCCAGAACTACTGGCCCGGTTTGAAAAAATATTTTTTGTAGTATGGGCTATGAAACATTATGCTACTACCAACAGGAGCCAAGCAGCGGCAACAGGAGTAACTAGTTTCAAATAAAAGAAGTCGCAGCAGCAGTTACGTGGCAGTAATACTGGTCATATTGGTATTTCAAAAGTAAACTAGATGATTCCTGCGTTTCCTTTCTGACTAATCTTTATAAAGAGTCTATACAAATAAAAAATCGGTCATAATCTAAGATTCTCGATTGCGAATTTGATGTCGGTTATTTTTTTTTTTTATATGAGTATATACCACGACGGTGGCAAAAAAGCACACGGCCCACCTGATGGTAAGTTACCGTGGCCTATGAACGCTTGCAACACATCGGGCATTACATGCGCCTTGCCGACCCTTAAGAAACCTATTAACTCCTTTCATGAAGAACCCCATATTGTAGTCCACCAGGAAAACCTTAGCAGGGAGTTTTCATTCCACAATCGGAGGGTCTGTGCACCATTTGGGCTCTTACGTGAACGTGACCTCCCTGTCGAGGGTGAACAGTGCGATGATAGAAAGAAAAGGTTATTAATATTGGCACTGCGTCCATGTTTGTGAAGCTCATATCTATTGCATTTTAGTGCACTAGAGGTATAATTCACAACACTAAATATACCTAGTTAATACCATTATAACACTTATGTGGAATTGTACCAGCTCCTTAATCATTCAGTTATGAATAGATGTAAATTTTACAATGCTTGTCTTCTTGAAACCACAATGACTGGGCACGAATTGAAAGATGATCATAAAATATTACTAATTTAAGAAATATTGTGCAACTACATAATGCATAGTAATTATGCGACATAATTTTATTCTGACAAAGGTACGATTGCGATGGATCTTCAAGATGACATAAAGAATGCACATAATATTATGGGTGCGTACTTCTACAATAATATTACCTCTATAATTTTGTTGTTTACCTTGGTAACCAGATGATTACATTTGTCACCATACATATATATATATATATATATGTATACATATATGTATACATATATATATATATGTATACATATGTGAATAAATATAATAATTCTTCAACTTTAATGCGTGGGTTTCCCAGCGAATCAATAGATCCGCAATTAACACTAAAGTGTTTGTGAATCAAAAACAAAACAAATAAACACCAATAGAACAAAATTTCCACGATATTAATTTAATAAAGGTACCTGTAATTATAAAATAAGTTTGACGTCACTTATAAACAAAAATTTTGGTACATAATAATAATGAATTTTCTTATTACGAAAAAATTCTAGTCAAATGAAAGTACTCGGAAATAATATCATGGAAATCGAAAATAATTATTAAGACGTTATTAATAATACGGAACTAAGACAAGCAAAGTAAATACCCTTTTACACTAATATTACATACTTAGAATATGTTATGTAGGATTTAACGTAATTACACACGTACGATGTCACATCGCGGAATCTTCAATCATTTGTCATCTTAGTACCTACACGTGACGTAGCTAAACACAGTTTTTATCCAAAGGTATCAAGGTTCGGGTCAATCTCATTCGAAAACTACTCACTACCATTCAGCACAATGACAAAATTTACAACAGACTTCTTACCCAGAAAACGAAACTAAACCGAACATCCGGCTATACAAACGCAATTTGTTTCAAAGTTGTAAATCACATTTGCTAATATAAAAAGCTGTGATGAATTCATTTCGTTAATGACATTCGTGACAATAATATCGATATAGCATTTAAAAAGTGCAGCAGTCAGTTTAATAACTTTATTTGAAAGATTTGATATCAATGATTTTAGTGTGGCGGTTATTTACCTGCGCTGAGTCAGACCAGTAGCGCACGTCCTAGCGCGCATATATATACGTCTCCACAAGCGTCCACCAACAACATTGGTGAACAGAATTCGCAACAATGAAGACTGTAAGTAGACACAACTACACCATTAAATCCATTAAACAAATACTTAGATCTTCTAACATTGATGCGATGTGATATTAAATGATTGAACATTATGAGAAAATCTTTGAAAAACGTTCCGTTTGTATTATTTTTTATCAATGTGTTTGTGGGAAAATACGCAATATAATCGCAATACAATCTTTTTTGTTCAGTATATTTTTCAGTCGAATGTGCTCTGAATATAAACGTCCTGTAGTGAAAGCTCACGGCATTAAGTCCAACTGATATTCAAATTCTATGTTATAATTTTTATTCCAGTTGCTGTGCATTAGTATGCTGGTGGCCACGTGTGTGGCGTACGCTTTGGCCATACCTGTGGAGACGGCGCCGAGTGAATTAGCACCGGGAGTGGCGCCAGTGGCGGCGGACGAGGGGTTACTGCCAGAAGAGTCCCGTTTCCGTAGGTGGGGACACCATGGTTACGGACACGGTGGTTACGGATACGGTGGTTACGGACACAGACATCACGGAGGATACGGAGGTTACGGACGTGGATATGGTCTCGGCTACGGAGGAGGCGGTGGCTTCGGCGGAGGTTTTGGCGGAGGCTTCGGCGGAGGTTTCGGCGGTGGTTTCGGTTACGGATTCGGACGCTAATACAGTGCATTGACTTAAAATTTTCCAAATTCCATATTGATATCTGTGATGATTGCAAAAAGTTAAATTATACGTATTAAGTAAGAATAAATATTTTATTTGACATTTCATCTCGTTTTATACAAATTGATAGTCACAAATAGGTTTAGTTTCAGTGTACACATTTGTAAGTTGTACCTAGGTATAATACTAGGTCGGGGAGTTCCGGAGCAGGTCTATTATAGAGGACTCGGTTACCCCCCATAGGTGATGATGTTGGCGAATGGGCTGATTTTAGTGAGGTAAGAATCCCACACTCCCTAGTTTTTATCCCCAAAATAGCTAGGTGCCATTTGAAGGTTTTCCTCCGTTATCAAAAACAAAAAGGTATAATACTAGACTATAACACTTATACATCAGCTACACTGTAACTAAACCAAATTATATCTTAACCAACAAATTGTCGTCTCCACACTAAAAGTAAAGGTTTTAGAAATCTTCAAGTACCTATGAACTTTCTTCCGCATTCACACTTTATATAGACATTACTCCAAATTCCTTAAAGTACCTATAATTATTTATTTTTAGCCTTGGTCGTCCCACTGCAGGGCTACGGCTTCCCTACCCTGCTTTCACTCGTCTTTTATTAAAGCTTAATGTGGCCAATCCTTTTCATTGGCGTCAAATTCATCCCGTCATCTCCTTCTGGGCCTACCGCGACGTCTTTTGACTTTGAGTGTGCACCACTCAGTATTATTATTATGTTTAGTACACAAAAATTAATCAGTTCCGTGTAAGTCTTGTCTCGAAATTTTACAACATAGTCTTCTTTCGACATGACTATCAACTTCTTCATTGAATAGCAATTGTGGGCCTACAGACCCTTTTTTGAGATAGAACAACTATGAAATGGCTAATTCCTGAGTAACGCGAGAGGGAGTGTCAGGCTTATTGACTAAGAACCACCCCGATCCCACGTCACCTTCCCTAGATAACCCTTTCAGGCCCCCGTGGTACGGTACTAAACTTAAGGTATTTTCCAATAAAATTATGAACTCAGAGTGTTTTATGTGTATTGTCCTTATCTAACCGTAATGGAAACGTACAATTTAACAGCTAAATACACATTTTCAATAGTTTTCGAGATTTGTGTTTACATTTTTTCTGATATCTGTGGATACTGCCCGAAGAGTATGCTTCACTGACGGACAGACTGACAGACTATTATTTATTTCATATTTGTTGACGTTTCGAAAGTACCAAATTGTGATTTAATTGAAATAAATGCTTTTGAGTTTGAGTACTTGCCTGCAGCAATGCACGGTTTTAATAAAGGTGTACACTGAATTAGAATTATAGACGTACAATAAATGTACAATAAATTAAGATTATATATAATTTAACTAGGAAGATTTTCATGAACATTCACGACAAGAGCAAATTCCTTTTTAAAAGGCAGTCAATGCACCTGTGTCTCCTCTGGTGCTGCGGGTGTCGTGGGCGATATCAGGTGATCCGTCTGCTCGTTTGTCTCCTATTTCATAAAAAAGCTACAATTTAAACTTTCGACCAACCATTACCAATAATTACTATTATGATTACATATACTATTACACAGTTCATTACATATGTATAGACATTCTGACGAAAATATAAAATCTTTGAAAACCGATCCGAGAATAATAACTCATACTGTTCATATCTTGTCAATCAAAAACCAGAATTCAAATAAAAATGTCGAATTAATGCTAACGATATTAATTTAAGAAGCATCGTAGGCTTTTCAACTAACATTGTCACATGTCTCATGCACAGCATCATTTTGTATCATAATAAATAAACATGCTAAAAAATATTCACGAAATAATTAAATAATAAAACTCCGAATGGTAGATGCCAAAACAATAATAAACATTCATAGAAACCCAACGAAACTCAACAACAACAAAACAAAGTGGGGTCGTATATATAGAGTAAACAAGTAAATAACTTTGTTTACATCAACAAAGTCCGATAACAGAAAATTAATTGCAAACATAATAAGTTTTTGTTTACAAATACTTATTGTATAATAATAAACACATTAAGCGTACCTAACTTACACGATGACTTCCTATATCAACTTACTCATAGGCACTTATTAAAATACAAGACACATAAGCATAATTAACTTCGTATCATTTCATACACAGGCATACAATACATATATACATATACATCGCGCATTTTTGTCCCCGAAGGGGGTACAATGTAACACCCACTTTTCACTATTTATGTTATGAGTTACATGTTTTAGGGGGTGAGTCTTTTGCCAAATACCAAGCACAGTTTCAGACTACGTGCTACTACTGAGATTTTTCTTAAACCCAGGGATACTTTGCCCGGCTCGGGAATCGACTCGAGTCGAGTCGAGTCGAACTCGGTCAACGAGGCAGTCATATACTGATGTTAATTAATAATTGATTAGTTTGATAATAGGCTCACTCCTATGGGAGACATCTAAATCAGCAATAGCTGATGTGTTTAAATACGTGCGCCTCCTACTAGTCCTCGAGATATAAATAATTATGCTTTACCAAATATAACTATAATGCCTAATCAATATTTGCGTACTTTTCTGTGTGGCTATAAAAACGAGTGTGCAGGTTATTTAAAATTCTTTAGTAAACATTGTAACGGGATGTCAAAGAAAACTATTTGACTGTTAACAATCGTCCGGTTGGCTCACAGCCTTCTGAATAAACCGCAGATATACGTATATTATTTACAAAATAATGTACCGATTTGGTTTGTAATATAGCAACGTTCATGCATACATATATCTATATCTTTGAAACTGTTCTGAATACAGGTAAATAAAAAGCTTGAAATAACATACACGTCTGAAAGAACAAAGGACCAAAGATTGATCCCTAAGGAACACCCGACATCAAAAATATGAGAATAAAATTTTAAAAAGCCACATTTAATAATATAATGTCAATAATTTCAAACGCCCCTTTAATACAATATGGGCAAAAACTTTTCTGCTAGTATTGCTAAGGCGCATGAAAAAATAAATAATGTTAAGAAAGTACTCAAATGCCTTACCAGGTTCACAGAAACGTGCATAAGTATAAAATAGTAGTTACTTATTATGAACTTTTATAATTTGGGATTTGGGATTCAAACGTTGCCTCCTAGGATAAGATGATGAAAATACTGTTCTAAAAACGCTCTCGATATAAGTTGTACAATGTCAAGTGTGTGATATACCTTGCTATGAACGTCATAGAAGGCACTCAACAAGAATCTCTTTTTGTCAATCTACAACCATCCACTTAAAATCATTGCAAACTATATGTAAGTACTTGAAGTTTATGTACAAACGAAATTACTTACAAAGACGCTGTATGAATATTGATTGACTATAAATAATCATTTCTTTAATAATATTTGAACAGAATCTATATTTAACATTATGAGTGGTCATTTGTCGTAAACAGGCCTTCTGAATACAACTTAGGTATATAGGATACATGACTTCTTGGCTGTATATATTGATGGGTACAAAATATGGTCACGTTGAAAAGCAAACAATTAATTATGGATAACAATAACTACTCTTTGTAGCAAATTAATGTTTATTTTCTTACCTGCTTGCATGTTAGAGGGTCAGAGCACTGGTTACTAACAGGTAGCATTATAATTATGCAAACAATCACAAATTCAACGTGTTTAGGTACCATTGTGTTAAACGGATAATGGCTTAATAAATTAGCATCACAGTTAAACTCAGTGACAAGGTGCAGTTAACATAAAAATACTCACCATTCAATAACAAAACAAAGAATAAAATAGTACCCTTCTCGAAAGGTTAAAACATTTATATACATACATCAATCACTCATCATCATCATCATCAACAGCTTATAAGTGACCACTGCTGTTCAAAGGCCTCTTCTAACACGGAGAAGATTTGATCATTAATCACCACGCTTGCTCATTGCGGATTTGCGATTTCAAACTTATAATCAGAAATTATAACCTTCGCCATTTGTTAATGGAGTCAAGATAATCTTAGAAAATACATATAACTCGGCAAAAGGCATATTGGTAATCTCCGTTGGTAGGTTTCGAACTCGCAGTCTCATGCATGAGAAGCGGGCATCTTCCGGGCCACCACGACATTACATTACATTACATTTACATCATCCACTGTCATCATCATATCAGCCACAAACCGTCCACTGCTGTATTTCTGCCGCGCCCAATGATTTCCAGAGCAGGCGGTTGAAGGCAACCTGCATCCAGCGGCTTCTACCTATAACAGGTTAATTCAGGTCATCTATTGGTGGACATACCTAGACACACTTTATTATGGGATAAGCCGATAGACGAGCAGACGGATCACCTGATGGTAAGCAATCGGCGAGCCGCCCATGGATACTTGAAACACCAGACGCGTTACAAGTGCATTACCGGCCTTTTGGAAATTGGGAATTTGAGGATTGTGGGGGCTTCGGGGATTGGTTAGACTGTGGAGGGGGTGGGGGTAATTGGGCCCAAGGTAACCTCACTTACACTATGAAACACAACGCAAGCTTTGTTTCAGCCGGTTTTCTGTGAGGCCGTGGTATCACTCCGGTCGAGCCGGCCCATGCGTGCCGAAGCATGGCTCTTCCACACTTAAAGCTCTCTCATACTAAAATACAATAATTTAATAAAGTTTACGGGAGGAGGGAAATAAAAAAAAATCTTTATTTCTTTTATACAAAACATAGGTGTTTGTACATCGTATCAACCCACCAAACTGTTATGATATTACAGTTTGACAGCGGTTTGTTCAATCATTTAATGACTTCTCCCGCCTTGAGTTAGAAGAGAGTGTCAGATTCTTACTGATTAAAACGTAGGATGGTTTTGATCCGATCCCTGCTTTGTCCCGCCTCTGTACCACCTAAAAGTAGACGAGAAGAGATTGTATTAGCATTAAATCCATCTATGGTTATTTTGTACATGTATCATTAATATAAAATGAATAAAGAACCTAACCAAATAGTGACGAATGTTTGACTAAAAACCGCATTATAAACATCGGTAACGGAAAGCAGCTTTTGAATATATTAAACTTAATCTTGAACCAGGTCAC